GAACCCAGCCCGGCTCCGCTGGGGTTCGGGGCTCCCCGGACTTCAGCCCGGTGTCCGCGCCCCCGCCCGGGCGCTCCGTCCTCGCCCAGAGCGCACAGGCGGACGCCCCACGAGTGGGCCCTACGAGTGGATGCAGCGCAGCATGGTGGCCAGACTCGCACCAAGGACCGGTACCGGGATCTACGCAGACCCACAGCGCCTGGAGCTGGAGAAAGAGCTCCACGACAGCCGCGACATCACCCTCGGGCGGAAATCCGAGCTGGCCGCCAGCCTGGGGCTCACGGAGCGGCAGGTAAGATGTGGCTCCAAAGTCGGCGGGCAAAGGAGCGAAAGGTGAACACGCAGCAGCAGCAGCCCCTGCCACCGCCGTGGCCCCTGACGTCACCCCCGCCCCAGCCGAGCCAGCCCTGGGGGCCGTGCTCAGGCAGCGCCAGCCTCCTGGGCGCCTCCTCCCCAGCGCCCGTCAGAGAGGCGCTCCTGCCACAGCTCTGCCAGCCTGTGGCCGGGACCGGGGCACTCACACTGGGCTGTGGCTCCCGTGGGCCCAACGGTCTTGTCCGTCTGAGCCCTGGCCCTGCCCTGGCCCTTGGGCCACGGCGGCCACGTCCCCTGCCACCTGCACCCCCAGACCCATCTGTGATCCTGTCCGGTAAAGACGCTGCAGTTCCTTGTGTGCCAGCCTCGGGATAAGGCGTCCAGGGTGGGTGGTCTCAATCTCTCAAGGCATCTCAAACCCCAGAGGGCGGGAGGGGGACGAAACAGGCCCCAGGCCTCCTTCTCCGGAGGGTCAAGGGGTGGTTGGGAGGTCCCGCTGTGAGGGCCAGCCTGGCCACAGAGAATGGTGAGCTAAGCACAGACACAGGGGGTGGGGGGGGCTCTGTCTGCCTCTCCCTGCACCTCACTGCCCCCCAGCAATGCCACGGGCCCTCCAGACCAGACGCAGAGCTCCAAGCCCACAGCAGCAGGCCCTGCGGCCACTCCTTGGGTTGTAGGGAAATGAGCGGGAGACCCCTGGAGGAGGAGGGACAGAGTCTACCTGCCAGGCTGTCCCACAGGGCCCAGGCGCCAGGGAACCCCCAGAGAACTGTCTCTGGACTCGGCAGAGCCCAGTTGTGTTGTACATAGAGTGGACTCTCTTGAATGCAGCTTCGAGATAAATGTTTCTTCTCTTTTAAAAAATGTATAAAAATCATGACACAGCATTAAAGAGGCATTTTTGAAAACTTTAAAAAAAAAAAAAAAGGAAGAGGCAAACCTACATCATTAAAATGTGAACTATAGGCAACCACTTTGGTTCCCTCCCACTGTGGGAGCTTTTCTGATGTCTCAATAAATCCTGTTTTCAAAAAAAAAAATGTGAACTATAAATTACTTACAATCAAATATGTAACGTAATTCACATTAGGTTTAATTCTTTTAATAGAGATTATTTGGGGTGTTACTTCAAAAAATAGTAAGAGATCTCTAATTGTTGTGTGATGTGTCTGTAGAGAGAGATTTCCAAAGCATAGGAAAACAGTTCACTTCACATTGCACTTTTTTCCAAGCTTGCAGCAGTTCACTTAAAATATGTTTTTCAAATATTTAAAAATTAAATATCTTTACTAAATCGAAGAAAACTTCAGTGTAAAGGCCACAGCTAGTCATAAATTTTGTATCAATACGTTTCATACATATTTAATTTTACCTTAGCTGGAATATTTTTTATTTTTTATCATCGGTTATGCTTATACTTGCTGATAGCTTTGACTTTTCTTTTGCGCTGCTACTGATTACCCCCAGCTCTTTTCCACTAATACTTCTAAATATAGCCGGGCTCAGTGGCTCAGCCTGTAAATCCCGTGCCTTTGGGAGGCTGAGGTGAGTGGATTGCCTGAGCCTACGGGTTCGAGACCCGCCTGGGCAACTTGGCGAGACCTCATCTCTACAATAAATCAAAAAATAAGCCAGACATGGCAGCGCGTGCCTGTAGTTCCAGGTACTTGGAAGGTTGAGGCGGAAGGATTGCCGGAGCCCAGCAGGTCGAGGCTGCGGTGGCCAGGAGCGGCCACTGCACTCCAGTCTGGGCGACAGAGTGAGACTCCAACTAAAAAAAATAAATAAATAAAAACACTTCTAAATATTCCTTAAATTCTCTGATCAAAAGCTGATAATTTTATTTACATTTTACCCAATTTAGGAACACAACTCAGTCGGGTACAGGGATTCACGTCTGTAATCCCAGCACTTTGGGAGGCAAAGGCAGGAAGACTGCTTAAGGCCAAGAGTTTGAGACTAGTCTGGGCAACATATCAAGACTTCGTCTCTACAAAAAAGTCCAAAAATTAACCAGGCGTGGTGGCACATTCCGGTCCCAGCTACTAGGAAGGATGAGGTGGAAGGATCGCCTGAGCCCAGGAGGTCGAGGTTGTGGTGAGCCATGATCATGCCACTGCACTCCAGTCTGGGCAACAGAGAGAGAAAAAAAAGAAACACAACTCCCTCAGTTACTCCTCTCAAGTATCTTGCTTGTCAGCACTCCCATGTCTCACATCACTACCCTGTTAATTTTGACAGGCAAATATTGTCAACATGGTTCAAATTCTAATAAAGTAAACTTCACCTGAAAGAACCAAAACAGCAAGACAAAATACAAGAAACGACTGTTTTCAAGACACTGGACAAGAAGCAAAAAAGAACAGGGATTCCTGAGAGATGGGAAGCAAGGTGAATCCTACAACTGCTTCTGCTTACTGGTTTTTTGTTTTGTTTTGTTTTGTTTTTTGAGTTGGAGTCTTACTCTGTCACCCAGACTGGAGTGCAGTGGCCGCTCCCAGTCACTGCAGCCTCAACCTGCTGGGCTCCGGCGATCCTTCCGCCTCAGCCTTCCGAGTAGCCGGAATTACAGGCGTGCGCTACGACACCCGGCTGATTTTTTGATTTATTGTAGAGATGAGGTCTCGCCAAGTTGCCAAGGCAGGTCTCGAACCCGCGAGCTCAGGTAATCCACTCACCTCAGCCTCCCAAAGTGCAGGATTACAGGCTGAGCCACTGAGTCCGGCTTGCTTATTGTTTTGAGAGTTTCTAGGTTAGACTCCAGGGAGAGGGAAGTTGGGTGGAGCTGACAGTCTGGGGAGACCAAAGAGACTAGAGATCGTGTCAGACTGCTAGAGAAAGAGCAGAGAAAACTCCAGAGATCTGCTAGAGTAAATTCCAGTATTCAGCTAAGTGCCGATGGATGCATGGATGAAAATAAACTACCCGCGCTGGGAAAGAACCATCTGAGACGATTAGAAGAGCCTGGCAAAAATCAAATGATTTCTAAGTAATTTAACTAACTCCTAGAATGAAGCTAAAGAATATTTATAAAAATACAAAAATATGTAGACCCATCAAGGCAAAATTTGCAATGCCTTGGCATACAAATTTCCAGGTATGCAAAGAAACAAGAAAACATGACCCACAGTGAGAAAGAAAAGAAAAAAATCAGACAAAATTGAAACCAACTCATAACTTCCACAGATGCAAGAGTATTAAAAGTTATAACTGTATTCTATATGTTCAAAAAATTAGAGACATGCAGTATATATTTTTTAAAAGACAAGGAAAACTAATGGAGATGAAAGCTATGATGTCAAAATAAAAATATATACATATATATTGAATAAGACTGACAACAGATTAGACAAAAGAAAAGGTTAGTAAACTGAACAACTAAGAACAGAAACTGGCCAGGCTCAGTGGCTCAGCGTGTAATCCCAGTACTTTGGGAGGCTGAGGTGAGTGGATTGCCTGAGTCCACGGGTCCAAGACCCTTCTGGGTCACTTGGCGAGATCTCCTCTCTACAAAAAAATAAAAAACGAGCCAGGCATGGTAGTGCGTACCTATAGTGCTGGCTACTCTGGAAGGTTGAGGTCAAAGGATTGCAGGAGAGCCCAGCAGGTAGAGGCTGCGGTGGCCAGGAGCATGCCACTGCCCTCCACCCTGGGTGACAGAGTGAGATTTCAACTCAAAAAAAAAAAAAAAAGAAAAGAATGGAAACTATCGAAAATGAAACAAAGAAAAATAACTGAAAGGAACATCAGTGAGCTGTGGAACTTCAAGGACTGCAATCCACATGAAATTAGAGTCCCTAAGAAGGTGAAGAAAGGAAGGCAGAAAAATATTTGAAGATATAATAACGAAATTATGGCCGGGCTCAGTGGCTCAGCCTGTAATCCCAGCGCTTTGGGAGGCTGAGGTGAGTGGACTGCCTGACCCCACGGGTTCGAGACCTGCCCGGGCAACTTGGCGAGATCTCATCTCGACAATAAATCAAAAACTAGCCAGGCATGGTAGTGCATGCCTGTAGTTCCAGCTACTTGGAAGGCTGAGGCGGAAGGATTGACGGAGCCCAGCGGGTCGAGGCTGCGGTGGCTGGGAGCGGCCACTGCACTCCAGTCTGAGTGACGGAGTGAGACTCCAACTCCAAAAAAAAAAAAAAAAAATGAAATTGTTTAAAACTTGATAAACCCTCAAATTCAAGAAGTCCAACAAACCCCAAGCAAAAGAAACATAAAGAAAACTATAAAGGCACACCAAATCAAATTACTCAAAACCAATGATATCTCTTTTTTTTTTGAGTTGGAGTCTCACTCTCGCCCA